CCACTCATTTAAGATGAACTTGATACATGCTGACTCTCATACCCCGAGGCAAGAGCTGGGCTCACGTCTGCTGGGAACGAGTTAACCCAATGGCCTAGTGGAAGCCAGCATGGGAGATGACGCCCTCGGTGCTAGGTTTGGTTCATGCATTAGAAAAAGCAGGGAGGGAGAGGCAGCCGAGAGGAGTGGTGGCCAGGAAGCCAGCCTGACTAAGGACTCTTTGCTGCTAAGTAGTTGAGCCAAGCTCGCCCTGAAGATAGAGAGAATGGTGAAAATTTACTACAATCTGGAAAACAAAGACGGAGCAGAATCAGGGAGAAATAATTGTAACTCATCTTGACTCAACTCTGGCCATTTTCTTCACAAAATAGGCCAAGAGCTACATCTACCCTGGATGCAGTCACAGGGTGTGCAATCCCCCCACCCACGCTCAAGTGCTGGTCTAATTCAGGCTGCCACACCTTCCTTCTTTCCTTTTTTCTTTCTTTCCTTCTTTCCTCCTTCCTTCCTTCCCTTCCTCCCTTCTTCTCTCCTTCCCTCCCTCCCTCCTTCCCTCTCTCCCTTCCTGCCTTCCCTGAGGGAGCATTCACCCTCCACCCTGGTTGCTTCCTGAGCTCCTTCTGTCCTAGGGGCCTGGGACCCAGTGAGAAGAGGCAGCCTCATGAGTCTGTTTCTAAGGGTGGGGGCAGGGAGCAGGGAAACCATCACAGGCCAGGCTGCAGGTTGATGGCTGCCATGGCAGGAATGCAGGGAGGGGGCGGGGGTGGGGGTTTGAGGACAGAGAAAGCAAACCCAGAAGCAAGTCAAAGCTGGGGGCTGGCAGCCCGGAAGCGCCATCTGGTTGGTGCAGCCCAGGAGCTTGGACTGTTCCAGCCGCAGAACGGCTTCCAGGCCGTTGTTCCTCAGGGAACCACCCCATAAACAAACGCCTTCCCAATCCGTTCATTCTGGACTGCGGGCCAGCAGACCCTGTCCCTCTGGCCACAGGAACGCACACCACCCAGGCGGTATTACCTGTTAATGCCTACTCTTGCCAAGCTTTGTTCTAGAGTCTAGAATCTAGACATTGGGGACAAAGTGATGCAAAGATGAAGTCCTTGTCTTCATGGAGCTTATATTCTATGGGGAGACGGGTAATGAATAGGTGATGAGATAAACATGGATGCACATCGAAGGTCTAATAGTGTCACCCAGTGAAGCTGGAAGGGGACCCTTGAGGAGATGGGGAGAGGATGGGCGCCAGGCAGAGGGAACAGGAGGTGTGCAGGCTCCCATAGGGGTGCGTCCAGAATGGGGGGGAGCCAGGAGACCTGTGGGCAGGATGGACAGAGGGGTGGGGTGGGCGCAGGGCCAGGCCATGAGAGGCCCCCCAGGGACTGTGTGGTGTTCTGGGTGACAGGAGCGCTTGGGGCGGGTGCTCAGGGGTGTCCCTGGTTCCCTGGCAGGATCCACGGCTGCCGAGTGAAGGACAGATAGTCAGGGGAACAAGTGGGGTAAATGGTTACACCTCGCGGGCGGCAGTGGACGAGGTGGGCAGGATTAGGTGGGGGCTCAGCCTGGTGGCCTCAGCCATGGAGGCAGAGTGGGTGGGCCCAGGCTGAGCCTGTCAGGATGCAGGCCTGCGTGGCTGGAGGCTGTCAATGGCGGGCCTCCGGGCGGGCTGTGACGTGCAGGGCAAGGCCCGGCAGCTGAGTGACCAGAACTACCCTGTTTCCCCGAAAATAAGACAGTCTTATATTAATTTTTGCACCCAAAGATGCAGTAGGTCTTATTTTCAGGGGATGTCTTATTTTTCCATGAAGAAGAATATGGTACACATTTATTGTTAAATGAAAATAAAGGAAATTTATTACCTGTATACGGTACGGTAGTATGGTAGTTGTCAACACAAACCAGACAAACTGTGAATCCTACAGTATCAAGAATTTACTCATTTATTCAGTGACAATCATGTCATCATCTTCTGGAACATCATCATAACAATCCAATTCCTGAATTTCCTGGTGAATTTCTTGTGACTCCATTTCTTTCAGAATCAGTGGACCAAATCTCCCATGTTTAGCAATAGCATTCTGAGACAGAGCCTAGGGAGAGGAGGGGGCTTATTTTCGGGGGGATGCCTTATATTTCACTCAGAAGGAAACCTGTAAGTAGGTCTTATTTTCGGGGAAACATGGTAGGAAGTGCGGTCCAGCGTTCTTTGACCCAGAACATCACTTTACATGTTATATTTGGTTAGAAAATGCTGGCAATCTGCCCAGCATGAGGGACATTATACTTGAATTCCACCAGAGCAGCAGATAGACAGCTCCTCTTAGCTCCACTCAGGCAGAGGAGTAAACACTCTCATTTGGGAAGTGGACAGCTAGCAGGTAGACCGCAGGCAGCATGCGAGCGCCCAAGCTGATTGCTGGACCGTTGGTTGGTTGTCTGTTTGCCTTTTTTCTGATTGCCTGGCTGGATGACACCACTGAGCCTAGGGCAGGGTGAGTGGGTGGTCACACCCCATCGGGTTCGTCACTCGTCAGATGAGGTGCCCTCCAGGCAGTGAGCACGACTCGGGGGGTCGAGTGGGCATTGCCAAGCCCTTCCGTCGAGTCCCGCTCAGCTCCACAGCCCACCACTTGGAGCGTGTCGGGAAGGGGAGGGCAGGAGGTGGACACAGACCCTCACTCCGGCTGAACTCAGGAGTGTCCTGACACGAGTCGGCAAGCAGAACAAGCTTTGGTCTGCACCTGGCACAGCCACTGGGCACCCAGTGCCAAGTCCCAGCTGCTTCCGTAGCAAAGGGGCAGGAGAGTGCTGGGCAGGACGGACCGCGGTGAACGCGCTTCAGAGGGAACCCCAGCCTGCATGGACCCGGAGCAAAGCGGTTGCCAGGGTTTCCTCCCCAGTGCGGGGCGGGCCACCTCGGGCAGCACAGAGCCAGCACAATTTGGGAGATGGGCCCAGTGACGAGGCAGAAGCCCGTCCAGCACAGACAGCCCTGTGGGACATGTGGTTGTATCCTTACCTAACCCAGCGCTTTCACTGAACGTAAAGGGAGCTGGTAGAATATTCCCCACGTCAGAGAAATTCAAGGTTAAAATCGTGTTTTTAAAAAGCTGAAGGAACAGCCGTGCCCCTCTTCCTGCTCCTTAGCTGGCTCATTTAGAATAAGCAAACCCTAAGCGGAGTCCTGCTCCACAGCTCGAGCCCGTCCCTGAGGTGTGGCCCCCACAGAGCCGGCCTCCAGGCCTGTCTGCACTCACAGCCCGGAGCCTGGAGGACCCAGCAAGCTGGGGAGGGAGAGGAGGTGCAGGCAGCACCCCAGGCTGCATCCACCACCGCTCCATGGAGGGCTGGGAGGGGTCACACAGACGGGCTGGTTACACAGGGCCCTCGAGGGGCCTGCAGTCCTGGGAAACTCCAAGGTGAGCAAACTTGGATTTCATATTTCTAACTTTGAGATTAGGGCCAAAGGAGAGGCGGTCAAAGTAGAGCCTCTGGGCAGGTGTGGAAACAGGTCCCAGGACTCCCGGGGCCTGGGGCTGTTGGGGTCCTGGGAGTGTGACTTGCACAGTCCATCCATAGAGGGTGGGGGCGGGGAGGCGTGGGAAGCAGCGAGAAGGCAGTGGAGGCCTTGCCTGGCAGTGTCCCCGAGAGAAATCCGGGTCTGAGGGCCCGGAGGCGCGGTCCTCCGATGTTGGGGGACAGCAGCCCCGGGAAGTCCCCGAGCAGAAGGACAAGTAGAGTCCCCAAGGAGGGTCTAAGTGATGGATTGGAAGGAAGAAGGGGGACATATGAGCTTGAGAAGGCGGGGTGGGGCAGGGCGGGGCGGGCAGCGGGTCATGGCCTCTTGCTGCTGCTTTTGGGTGCACAGGGGCTCCTTCCCTCCCTGCAGTGGAACCACCAGAGCCCCCTCTGCTCCGCTCACTCAGGAAAAGGAGTCAGATCCGTTCTACCGGGGGTGTCCACACTCCGCACGGTGACAAATGAAACCAGCACAGCGCCTGTTCTCATCCTCATTTACTGCAGCAGACAGGAGGACGGATGCATTTACACATTCCAGGGTGCGACAGGTCCCAGGCGTTCTCCCAGCCACCCCGGCCACGTCCCCACAGAGGTCACCTGGCTCCAGCAGGAGGGAGCACTTCAGATGCGCGGACACAGGGTCAAACGGATGTGCGACCGCTTTAGCCATCTCTGAGAACAGGCATTTGCAGTGGCCGTTTCCATCCACTGAGCCTACAGCGGGGGCTCAGTTGTTGTGCGTTGGCCTGTGTATGAACCAGGCCGAGGTTTGATTCCTGGTCAGGGCACAGGCCTGGGTTGTGGTTCCGATCCCCAATGGGGGGCGTGTAGGAGGCAGCCAGTCAATGGTTCTCTCTCTCTCTCTCCCTTCCTCTCAGAAATCAATAAAAATGTATTTTTAAAAAATAAGTAAATGTGGTTTAACTCTCCACATGAATCCTGGCCCTGGAGACTGAGCAATTAAAACACCGTTAAGCTTCAAGACCTTCAGGGAAATGGAACTGGACAGTGGACAGTGAGCCCACAGGTGGTGAGGTCACACCTGGCCACAGGGAAACCCTCACGGAGCCCCAACTGGAAGCAGCCCCCAGGAGTCACACTCCCCAAGCCCGTGAGTGCGGGGTAATTTCTGAATTCAGGAGGAGGAGGGAAATGTGTTTCTTGCTGAGGGAACCAGAACAGGAGCCCGTGGCTGGGGGCCCGCTCACTTCTGATTCCTTCCCTACGGGCTGAGCGGGCCCCCAGCCACGGGGGGAGGGTGTTGTGCACACAGGCTGAGGGACAGCCGTGGAGCGAGCTGGGGGTTTGGGGTGTTAAGTCTAGCGCTCCCCGACCCTCCTGGAAAGATGCCTTGGGTTCCCAGGGTTTGGAAATGCTGATGTGGGGGACAGGGCCCCTAGGCAACCGTTTGGGATTCTCCCTCCACATCAGCGTCGCTGGGAGGACTATGTGGCTGAGTGGAGGACAGAGAAGATTGGGGGGGGGGGGAGGTTTGAGATGGGGGAAGGTGGTGGTGGAAGAGGTGCACTTATTCATGGAGGTGAGGAAGAACAGCAGTGGGGGGAGGGGCGGGAAGAGATATGTAAAGGCCCTGGAAGGGAAATATAGGCTTTCTTTGTATTAACCCACTGAGCCAGCCCAGATCTTATTTGGGAAGATTTTGTGTGTCATCACTGAAAACGTTGTTGCATGATCATGAAGCACCAAATCGCTTTGCAACCTTGTACTGAACCCGGGGATTTCTTTTCTCCTCTCGAATCCCCACCATTCTCGCCTCCCGGCAGAGGGCAAGGTGTGCGCTCCCGGTGTTTTCCCCGCGGCCGGAGCGACTTCAGCTCCGGGGCTGCCCGCCGTCCCTGTCAGTCGGCCGCTTGCAGGTGAGCATGAGCAGTAGCAGCAGGGGCAGGTGCCACAGGCTGCAGAAGAACAGCTTCCTGGAGCTCTTCCTGTCCGCGTCCACGTAGAAGCGGAAGCCGAGGTAGGAAATGTACAGGTTGATGGGCAGTGCGATGGCGGGGAAGGTCCACGTGGTGACGCCCAGGGCGGGGGCGGTGGCGGACAGCACGAGCAGCGCCAGGCAGTGGCGCAGGGCCACCCGCCGGCACAGCGCGGGGTGCGTGACGGACATCATGCAGTAGCCCCCGCGGGAGTAGTCTTCCCGGAGGCCCCAGCTCAGCGCGTTGAAGTGCGGGAACTGCCAGGAGTAGAGGATTCCTCCCAGAAGAAAGGCTCCTGCGGAGACAGGGGAGCAGAGCGCGTGGGGGTTTGCCAAGGCACCCTTCCCTCCTGCAGGCACCCGTTCCCTCTGAAGGTACCCCTCCCACCTCTCCCGACGGCACCCCTTCCCACCAGACAGCACCCTTCCCTCCTGAAGGCACCCCTTCCCACCCGCAGGCACCCTTCCCACCCGCAGGCCGCCGGCCCCAAAGGGCTCTGCCCGATTTCACCTTCATGGGGGCCCAGGCCCTGCCAGCCTGGTTCTCACCTCCATGTGCCCAAGCTTGCCAGCCTGCTCTCTGTGACCTCCCCGCCCCAGCTCTCACCTGGGTGGGCAGGGCACTGGCGGGGGAGGGGGATGCCATGCTTCAGGGCTTGGAGTGACACATTTTGAAGCTCCTTGGCCTTCCCCCCACCCCCAAGAGAAGCCCCTGCAGCACAGGGAATGCCTTGGGAGGGTCTGCCCCTGGCGCTCTGTGCTGGGCTCCCGCTGTGCCCACATGACAGCCAAAGAGCATCTTTAAAAGAAGGGATGTGCACTGCTTTGTAGACATAATGCCAGCGGGCGCTCAACAGACTAACGCGTTTCTGTGGACAGTGAGTGCCTCTGGGGAATCAGGAGGCACAGAGGGCAGGTTAGACCACCAGATACAACTGAGTCACACCCGCGGGGAGAGGAGACTGCTCCTTGCAGTTTGATGGGAAAACAGATATTCCTCTGGGCTTTAAAGGAGCCAGTGAAGAGAAAGTGCTCAGAGGCTCTCAGGGCTGGGCCACTTGGAGGCTTCTGAGCACAAAGTCCAAGGACTGGCCATCCCAGCACCTGTGCAGCCTCTGGCCTCCGGGAGGGTTAACCAGGACAGCGTGCAGCTACGCAGCCATGCACAGGGGACAGAGCAGCGTCAGCCATGATGTAGAAGCCGAAGAAAATGGAAGTCAGAGCCCAGTATCTGTCTATCGAAGTGGCTGAGAAGGAAACAGCCCTGAAAGGGTTAAAATCAGACCCAGATGGATTTCTCCCTCCTTCTCGGAAGCCCCCTTCTCAGTGTGCCAAGGGCAGGATTCTGCTTCGCTCAATGCACACTTTTCAGTTATGCTTCTCCTTAAAATAACAACTTAAAAAATCATTTTCCTAAGAGTAGCTCGCTGCTTTCTATGAGAGAGGAAATTGTATGGGTTTGGCCCATGTCACAAATGAAAGCGCTTTGGAAACACAGTGCAGCCTTAATGGACTAATCAGAAAACCACCGCCCCCACAGTTCTACTCGGCCGCAAATGCGCAGCGCATCCACAGACGGAAACAAATTCCTCCCTCATCAAGATAAGGACTCGACCGGAAGACCTGGGTTAATCTGGGCTGTGGGACCCGCCTTCCTTGTGCGGTGAACACAAAGCACTGTTACTAATTCAAAGGCCTGCCCTCAGCCCTAAGCCCAGAGTGGCCTATTTTTATTGGGCCGATCTGCGGTAGCAATGAATATTCCTGTGCGCCCACTGCGTGATGGGTGCAGCCTGGCGCCGAGGCCTCAGCTGACCCGGGAGACAGCATCAGGATTACAGCCCGAGGCGGTGCTTACGGAGAGCACACCCGGGAGGAAGACCAAGTCAGCCTGGGAGAGGTCAGGGAAGGCTTCCTGGAAGAAGCCATTTGTAAAGTGGACCTGAGGATGGTCTTGGAGGTTCACACAAACTGTGTGTCCTCTGTGACTATTAAATGTATGTTCTCATTTTCCTATCTAATTGCAGCACATACTTGCTTTAACTGTATTTGGAAGAAATGTCTGCTTCCTTCATTTTAATCCGTTTTTTGCTGGTCTGTGAATATATGAAACTAGAGGCCTAGTGTATGAAAATTCATGCACTGGCGGTGGGGGGAGGGGGGTGGTGGTGTTCCCCTCAGCTTGGCCTGCCCCCTCTCACAGTCTGAGAGCCGTCAGGGGTGGAAGGCAACCCGGCGATCAGGGGAAGGTAACATGCCATCACACCTCTGCTGCTGCCACTGCCGGCAGCGTAAGCCTCAGCCTGCCCTGGTTACCTGAGCCTCGGTCGGCCCTGGGTGGCTGAGCAGCTGCCATCCAAGGCTTGCATGCACCTTGGGCCGACCCTAGGAGGCTAGAGGGCTGAAGGGACTGGGGACTTGGGAGACAGGAGTATGGAGTGGCTAGGCCTGCTTGGGGGCAGACCTGGCCTTGCCACATGCCTGTGGCCCTGGCGGGGCTGAGGGGACAGGGTGCAGCCATCTTATGGCTGTGAGCACCACCATCTTTGAGGGCAGGGACAGTCAATTAGCATATCCCCTTTTTATTGGCTGTGGGTGCCATCTTTGTGACAGTGTGAGGGTCAATTAGCATATTCCCTCTTTATTAGATAGGATACTGAGAATCTGAAACGGTGGCACGTCTGTGGGTAAGTTCTCCGGAGAACAGCAGTTTCCTGAGACCACGGTGCCAGAGGCCCAGCCACAGGCCACGCCAGAGACGACACGGGAGTCGGCATGCTCACTGCCCTCCACACAGAGGACTCAGGAGCAGGCCTGCTAGCTGTGTGTCAGCAGCTGGGGGCCCTGCTCTGACCCGGGGACAAGGCTCAGCAGCGTCTTCCGGGAGACTGAAAATACACCACAGCCTTCTGAACGCAGAACCCCTGTCAGTCACTCTGCGGGGAGGACCTCCGTGGCCACCTCTGCTCCAACCGGAGTGCTGCCGGCCAGCGTGCTGCTGTCGTTCTGCTGGCAGACAGGCCCGGCACTGGCAACCGGCAACCCAGCTGACCCCTTTCCAACTGAGGTCCTCCGACTCCCTTCTTCCCAGAATGTTCTTCCCAGAGTATCCCTCTGGGCGGGCCCGCGGCTGCAGCTCCTCTCTCTGCTGCCTGGGGCTTACACTCACCTTCCTACCCAGACACCCAGTCACTCGCTGTCCATGCGTGGCCTTGAAGAGGATAGAGAAGGGTTCCCACCGTCGGCTCCCTCTCCCCATGGCCCTCACAGCCCCTGGTACATGCCTGGCTACCTCCGTGCTGGGTGTAAATGGGGGAGGGGCGGCTGGGAAGCAGGGCCTCAACCAGGGCTTGGTGCTCAGGGATCTCAAAGCCTTTCCTTTGAGGTGAGCACAAAGCGGCAGGAAACAGAGGCCTCAGCTGCAATAGGTTGGGGTGGGGGGAAGCGGAGGTAGCCGGCGCGGGAGATAAAGGGGAGAGGACGTGCGCCAGTTTAGGGCAAGGCCTCAAGTCCTCGGTCAGCTCCTGGGGAGTGGCCGGAGTGCTGCCCAGGCCCAAGAGGGCGCCTCACCTCACTGCACTCCTATGTCCAGTGGACACCTGGGTTTCCTTCGAAGGGAAAGAGGAGGCTAAGGAAGTCACCAAGCTCTGATTCCAAACAAAGTGCTCCTTGCCCTTCCCCTCTTACCCCTGGAGGGCAGTTTCGAGCACCTGCGAGTCCAACACACTCAGGCAGTCCCGAGGGACCCCCACTGGCCTGTTCCTGATCGGTGCCTGGCCAGGGCTCGGCCACCAGGCACCCGCTGCCACTTCCTTGGGGGAGGCGCCGACCCTGCACCCTAAAAGCTCCGTCAACTGACAAGATGAGCACGCTGAGGCCAGAGCCGGCCCCTCACCCCGCCAGCCTCGGCTCTAGCTTCACGTTTCCAACCCCCGCCCAGCCTCTGCTTTCGCCCGGAGGAGAACGGCCTGAACACTGTTTGCTGTGCTAACACTCCCATGAAAACATCCCTTGTTCCTCTGTCTTTAAAATATCATTTGTCTTAATTAACCTGAGCTCTAAGGCTAGTTATGAACAAAATCTCACACAAAATGAACACACTCATTTTTGAGTTTGATTTTAACGGGCAGTATTTTAAAAAAAATCTTTAACAGTGCTTCTTGGGTTGAACAGAGTCTGGGAAGCCCTCAAATATTTGCTGGGTGAATAAATTATTTCCATTCTTTTTTCTTATCCTGGAGTGAAGGAGGTAAATAAAGTAAAACAGGACTGAACATTGTGTAGTTTACCAGCTGTAAACTCATCCTCTTTTTGTTCTAAAACCATCCATCTGCAAAATGCCACTTCCTGATAAGCGCCCAAGTCTAAGTCCTCATTTGTACCTGGACGGTGTCTGACATAATGCTCACCACACAACAGCATTTGAACGACAAACCAAAGGTAATTTATGAATCAGCTCCACGAGCCTGTCACAGGCCCATGCCATAAACACCCAGACTGGGGTTTACTCAAATTCAGTAAAACTATAAAATAGAATCTGAGCCTTTTTAAGAAATGGGGATGATGAAAGGAGAGGTGGGCTTGGCAAGGAAGGAAGGAAGAGACTCTAACCTGAAACCCCGGGCAACTAGATAGCCTCTGAGATAAGCACTGGAGAGGCTACTGCTCGTGGCCAGGCCCTCGGGGAGCTGGGTTGTCCGCTGCCCACACTTGTCTGCAGAGCCCCCACCCCCACAGGCCACTCCCTTCTCTGCTGTCCACTGAGAGCAGAATCAAACCCAGTACCTCCACCCTAAGGCACAGGGAGGTGCCTCTGAACACCCACTTCCTTATTCCCCAAGCCCCTGGCTGCACCATTTTCTACAGCGAAGGATCTCCCTTTATCTCTGCCAACTGGATAGTGAGCTCTGCCAGGCCGTCCACAGGTGGGCTGCGCTGCTTCCTCCCCATCCTGACCTCCATCTGATGGCTGGCCCCAGGGGAGGGCTCTGCACAGGCACACACGACCCAGAGGCAAAAGCGACCGTGCTGGGCCGCCGATGCCCTGGCTGTGTAGCCAGGGGAGACGGGAAAGGAACGGGATGTGCTCAGGGACTCGCTGCCCTTCATTTATCCTTCCCTCCCACCTGTGCGTCACTGGTGCTCACCAGCTGCTCTTTCAGTGCCAGACCGAGGCCTCCCGAGTGGGGCAGCCTCGAATACGGGGAGCCCTACTGGAGAGGGGAGGAGCTGATGGGGCAGGAGAGGATGCCAACCCCACAGAGAACCAGCTCTGCACACGGCAAAGGTGAACCAGCCCTCCAGTGGAAACCCGCTGCTTCCTGGGAAAGCCTCCAGTGGGTCACTACCTCCTTCCGATAACATATCAACTCCTCAGGTCATGTCCGTGCTTGCTCTTGTTCCCATGGCTACATGCTCTGTGTACATGCTCTTCCCTCTCCTCGGAAAGCATGTCCACTTCGCAGGTGAGCTCATCATGACTTAACCCGGAACCCGCTGTGCTCCACGGTCGCCTCAGACCGGCTCCCAGCCCGCTGCAGACCCCTTTTCTGCTACGCCTTCGCTCTGTTGTACCTGCCTGCCTCGCCCTAAAGAGGGAGTGAGGCCTGGTTTCTGGGAGGACTGGATTGTAGTAATATCTGTGTCACTCAGTGCCCAGCACACAGTAGGGCCTCAACTGACCCCTGCACAATGAAGCTGCATATGAAGGTGGAGGTCTCAGCAATTCCTAGTCCAGGCTGGTCCACTGAGAGGTGATCGCCCAGCCTCCTCACTCTCTCCTCACCCTCCTCTCCCTCACCACCAATATAGCTCAACGCAACATTCCTCACGGGCTTCGGGCTTCTCCTAAGTGATCCGTCTTGGGAGGTTCAAAGACAACATGGCTTGGAGATACCACTGAAGAGGGATTTTCAAGCAAACAAGTCCCCTAAGATAAGAACTCAGATGAGAGATGTAACTTCTGTGGCTAATACAAATGAGACCATTGGTGCATTTCAAGTAATGCCTCTGCCCATGCCCTCTGCCCAATCCCTGGGTATTTCCAGGAATTCTAGCAGCTGGAACCCTCCGGGTCCTGTCTCAGTGTGGTGTCTGCACGGGGCACCAGCAGCAGCAGCAGCAGCACCACCACCACCTGGGACTTGTTAGAAATGCACACTCCCAGGCCCCTGCCCCAAATGGGAAGTCCTGAGCCTGGGATCCATCTCAGCAAACTCTCCAGGGGTTCCCGAGGCACTGAGGTCCGAGAACCGCTATGTTCGACTTTGGTGAAACCACAGGTATGGACCCCACAGTGCAAACTCGCCTGAGGAAATGGGGCGCAGGCTCACAGGACATCCGTCTGTCCCTCTGGGTGTAACTGTCGTGATAGCATGCGCCAGGCCCGTGCTGTCACACAGCAGCTGTCAGCCACACGTGGCTGTGGGCGTTTGGAACAGGGACAGAGGGACCAAATGACGTCTTATGTTTAAATTGAAAAGTAAAGAGCACATGTGGCTAGTGGCTGCCACATGTATGAGACAGTGCAGTCCTAGGAGATGGCAAAACGACCTAAAAATCGCATTCAACCTCATTCCTAAAACCTAGCAACAAGCATCTTTAAACTTGATCCCTTGGATGCCTACTTCTTCGTATCGCTTCCTCCTGTGAGGTGCCTTTAATAGCTGAAACTCAGCAAATATGTCATCTGTTACATAGAAGGCATTTACGCACTGATTCATTCATTCAAAGATCTGCTGCTCGTCTCTAGTTTGCTCTATCAATATAGTGCTTGAGCACCTTTTGAAGCTGTTTGAAGCATGATGTAAAGTAGCATTATTCTTTCTGTGCCAGTATGATGGGCTTTGGGTGCTCGGTGTGACGGTGCATTAGAACGGGGCAGTAAGCCCTGCCGCGCTGTGGGACCCGCACGCATCATTAAGAATTATAGGAAAGGGTGACAGCTGCGAGGAAGTGCCCTGTGGTAGCACAGCCCTCTCATGCACGCCAGGTCACTTCAGGTAGAGGAAGGATCTCCTTTACAAGATAAATACACATTTTCATTTTGCTTCTTGAAACAAGGCATAGCCTGGCTCTTAGCTGTCCCTCATTAATGAGTTCGTATGTAAATGCTTAAATCTGGATCACGGAAAAATCATACCCCAAACTGCCTTTAAAATATGTCTACAGCAGCTTAGCCAAGTCCAGACCGCCCCTGAACAGTGGGGGCTCCTGCGAGGGGGGGGGGGTGCTTTTGCAAAGCTCTCTCTCTGGCCGACTATGCTGAGGCTCCCATTCTAACAGGAAGCTGCCTGGGAGGGTGACAAGGGCACCGAGCCCTTAGCAAGAGCCTGGGTCCAAGACCCCACACAACTGAGTGACCCGTTCTCCTGACCTGGATTCGAACCCCCCCCCCCCCCCCCCCCCCCCCCCCGTCTCCAATGATAGCTGTCCTGCAGCTGTTCAGATCTGACACTGGTCCCCTCTGGCCTGGGATTCCCAGGATGGAAAAGGCAGCTGTGGTGCCTTGCTCCTTCGTACAGGTGAGAGGACACGGAGGAGGGCCTGGCATTCCTGGCTTGTCAGGCGGGTGGCTTGGCGAAGAGCATGTAAGTGGCAAGCAGTTCTGCCTGGTGTGGAAGGGATGGCACCAGAGGCTGAGAGCCCGAGAGTGCTCACGTTCTTTCCCCGCCTCCCCCACTTGGCCTGGCGGGGCATCCACTTGAAAGGCATGGAGGGCCCAGGAGGGGAGAGCTGGGCTAGCGCGGAGAGGGAGTCTGGACCAAGTCCAGGTTGAGACTCCAGGAGGAATCTGAGCAGGAGTGTGGGGTGTGCAGGTTACTCCTTACATTTTAATTGTAACCTGGGGGGAACTCCGACATCATCTGGTCCAGGATGCCGAACCCATGTGGTCCACCCTTGCCTGCCTCATGCAGTGCAGACAGCACGGCGCACCCCCGAACTCTTTTCCACCAAGCCAGGAGCCCCCCACAGTCTCAAACAACAGCCAGGTGCATGCCGATAAGATCTCATGACCTTTCTTGATCCATATTAATCTGCCCACTGTATGAATGAGGAACACAAACATACCAGTAATTCATTTAGTCCTCAATGTGACGAGAAGGGACCGTTATTAGCCCCGTGGGGGGGGCGGGGGAGGGAATAAGAGGACACAGCATAAAGGGCTCAAGTACGTTCTGAAGGGCCTGGCCGTTAGGTGGAGCTGGGCTCACCCCGCGCCCCCCTCCAGGCACATGCTCTGTGGGGACGAGATGGCCGGAGGCTCCGCACAGACCAGACAGGCGTGTGCCTTCTGGAACGCTGCATCTGTAGGTTCACGGAAGGCCGGCTTCCACAGGATATTAAAACCATCCTCAGAGACAATCACGGTAAAGGTGCAATCATCTCTGTTAGCTTGCCAAATCGGAGCCTCAGAGCTTTTATGAAAAGTTTCAGAAATGTGGCTTACAGGGTAACGGTTTATGGTCAATTGCCTTTTGATCTCTCATGTGAAAAATATGTACTTACATATATTGCAGGAAACCTCACCACTTCCTAAGTGTCGGGCAAAAACACTAATTACTTGACTAATTAGACTGTGAAACTTCCCTTACAGATGGTAAAAACGGGCCATTCACCCCACAAATGCAGTTGTGACATACCGCCAGAAAAATGTAGCAATGTCTCAATGGTTTTATTGTAGACAGCATGAACAATTTAGGCAAACCATATAAAAATAAATGAGAAACTAATGAAAATAGTCTGTTCTTTCAGAGGGGAAACACCGGGTCTGTGGGAGGAAGGAGCTAGTGCCGCCGGCCTGCCAGTGAGGGGCGGCGGTCCCGGGGAGCGGAGCCTGCCAGCACCTCCCGGAGGGACGCCCCCCCGTGAGCCCCCGGCCAACCGACGCGTGCTCAGAGGGCACTTTCCTCCCCTGCACTTGCAGCCGAGGCTGAGGCAGCTCCCTTTCCTCCCCCCTTCCCGTGAGGGAGAAGCCAGGACAACCTCCGTGAGCCGTGCACACGCTATTTCAGCCTGCCCGGCCCACTGCCCAGAGCCCACTGACATGCACTCCACCACCGAGTCCTGCCGTCGGGGGAGGAAGCGCCTCTGACCGGTGCGTGCTAACGCTGCGGGGAGAGCCTGGGTGCCTGCACCCACACCCGCCACTTGTCTGCTGGGCGCGGGGGCCACTCACCAGCATCCAGGCTGCCCGTTGCTGCTGTCCAGCCCATGACGGGGGGGATGGCGCCCACCACGGCTCCAACCCACGTGTTGGCGATGCTGACCCTCTTCAGCGGGGTGTAGCAGCAGGTGTACAGGAAGATGTTGAAGAGCCCCAGGGCTCCGGTGAGGGGGTTCACCCCCCAGGTCAGAAGGGCGACTCCGGGGACGGCACAGCAGGTGGCGAAGGCCACGGCGAGCAGCGGGCTGGAGAGTGGAGCACAGTGGTCACTGTCAGCGTGAACCCCCTCACACCCCCCCCCCTGCCCCCCCATCTGAGGAAGCCAGCTGGGAGCAGGGCCGGCTCCTTCCCGTCCGGGCATCTTCTTCACAGAACTGGAAAAAGTACGAAAAATGCTACGGGAAGCTGCTATGGCAATGACGGCCGCAAACATCATTCTCAACAGTCTACCAGCCTTTTCGAGTAAACTTTGTGCCGAATCTCGTGGAAGACTGAAGTGAACATACACTGGATGTACTAGTTTCTGATAATACGCCTGCTCATTTATTCCTTAAGAAACCTGAGGTCACTCCACCGGGCCTCTCCCTACAGAGGTCAGGCCGGGGCCTCTGCGGACACCTCCCCACGGCCACCTGTGACCCCACCGGCAGGCTCCACACTCGCCCACTGGGAGGCGGGAGTCAAGGGTGTGCAGCTTCCTGGGGGCTCAGGTCTAGCTACGGCCAGTTCCCCGGGAAGACAGCTTTCCCCCCTCCCTGCCGCCCCCCCACCCCCGGGAGGCAGCACCCTCCGTGCCCAGGGATGCAGGGTCCCAGGCAGGAGGGAAGCTGTGCTCCCAACGCTGCCTCGCCAGAAAAAAGCCTGCCTTGTAGAAAAGACAAGTCAGGCTGGGAAGGGCTGAGAGAAGCCTGGTGGGTCAGGGAAACAGGACAGAGAGCTGGGAGGGACTGGGAGAAGCCCCGCTCCCCCTGTATGCTGAGTGCTGGGCCTGAGAAAGCGCCCAGGAAGTGGAGTTGGAGGGAGCAGAACACACAGGGATGCGCTGCTGTACGAGGCTTTAGGTGGAAAGCCCGGGGCTACACTGAGACTGCCCCCTGCACGCGCAGTCCCAGGGAGGGCTTCCTCCGTCCTGGCCGCGGCTCCCAAGTCCTGTCAGCTACGTCTCCAGCCCTCACTCCGCACCCTGTCTTTATTCTGTCTCTCCCCACCATTCCCACCCCGGGCCCCATCTCTGAATCTGCCTGCTGGCCCGCTGTGTCCACTCCTGCTACAGAAAGCCCTATAACCAACCACTTCCTCTCCCCTTTCGCAAGCCTCTAGATTTACCCTCCTCTTCACTGCCTGACCCTTCTCCCATTTTGGGGGGAAGGGGACACCTTCTCCATTGTTAAAGACAAACTCTACTTTTGCTCCGATTTAACCTCCTCCCGAACCTGTCTTTATCTCCTATCTCCACTGTCCACTGACCTTTTGCATCCTCTGAACAGTTACTTTGTTCATATTTCCCCCGAAGTTCTTACTGTCCTTCTTCAAACCGGAACATGCTGATGAAGCAGACTGCCCAGGGCTCATCCTCCAGCCTGGCTTCCTACCGCACCCTCCTCCCCCTGTCCTCTCCCACCCTCTGCACAGGGCTCATATCCCCCCCCCCCCCACACCCCCTCTGCCCAGGGCTCATGCCCCCACCCCTCCTCTCCCACCCTCTGCCCAGAGCTTGTGCCTCCAGCCTAGCTTCCTACCTGCCCTCCCCCCTCTCCTCTCCCACCTTCTGAAACGACTTCTCACTCGGTTCCCAGCTATGGCGTGCAGTGTAGCTTCACAGAGTCAAGTTTAGGATAGTGCCTGTGTTGTTCCATCTCAAGTATACCCAGAACTGAGATGGCTAAAGAGCAGTGCAAATATTATAACTTGTTCTTCTTTCATAATGTGCTTTACAGCTTATAAGAACAGATTTCCCCCTTCCTATGGGATTCTACAAAGCAGGTTTTATTTTGGGTGGGAGAAAAATGTGGCTCATAAACACTTTTATTTTTCCTCAGTTGGACCTTGTGTGTGAAGAAAAGAAAAAAAGAGAAGGTTGTTCATTCCTTCTCCCAGGTCTGTGGGAGCCAGCTGTATTCAAATTGTGGAAAGCCCCCTTAGAAAAGCACACCTGAATCTAATTTATCGCGATGGGCAATTGCATGGGGAAGCTTAATTCCTGACCCTCCTCGGCATGGCAGGAAGTCATGGGGCTTACTTCTGGTGTAAGCCAGCGTGCTCTGGGGCACGAGTGAGAGCGGAGCAGGTGGCGAGGCCCGCGGAGGACACGAGCACACCTCCCGGGGGGCGGTCACTCCGGGACCAGCCCCCCACCGACCGCCGCCCCTGGCCGGCCTGACCCGGAGGGCAGGGCGCCCACACGCCCTGGGCAAAGAAGACCAGTTCTTACTCTGAAGTTTGTTTTCATGATGCTTTATTTTCCCTAAAGCATACCTTATAAAAGCAACATATGCTCATCTTGCAAACACTGAAACTATCAAAAGTCATAAAGAAGAAATTCTAAATTGGTTATTCAGGGAACCATATTGGTTTCTTTCTTTCTAGCCTTTTCTTAATAACATAGCTACCTAAAAAATAACCGAGAATGTACAACCAAGAATGTACTGAATTGTGGTTTTGTTACTTACTTAATTTCAATATGTCTTAATAATTTCCCCATGCCATTAGGAGTTCTTTTACATCATCATCATTAGTTACACAGTGGCCCATTCTATGGCTATACCACAATTAATTCCATCTCCTGGCCCTGTTTGGATACTTGGTATTTTTCCATTTCTTTACATAGAAAAAATGTCGGGACGCATACCTTACAGACAGACCGCTATTCACAGCCCCGATCAGGATACACTCTGAGGGTAAGTTTCTAGATGTGCGATTGTTAAGCCAGACTTCAGGCATTTTGCACGTTTTAGGGATTTGGACTTGCACCACCCACCTACACTCAGGAGGTTACACTGGTTTATCTTCCACGGGCGGCATCGGAGGGAGCCTGTTTCCAGGACTTGTATCAACACTGGGAACGGCATTGAACACAAAACAAAATGAACCAAGTACAGCCTGGCTATGAGACAGTCTTGCCTTCCTGTTATAGATGAGACACGGAGACTCACTAAGGAAATAGCTCGGGAGCAGGACCTGGACTCAGGTCACTCGCTGGCTCCTCATTTGGCCCAGAGCTCCCCCGGGGGGGCGGGGGGGCCCGCACTGGTGCAACAGGGCTCACTGACTCCCTTATTTCTCGGGTCTGCTGTGAGCTGGGACCCCCAGCCAGCTTCCTTTAGCGGGGAGCAGACTCCTATTGGGTTTGAAAGTTCCTGCAGCTCTAGCTGGTTTGGCTCAGTGGATAGAGCGTCAGCCTGCAGACTGAAAGATCCCAGGTTCAATTCTGGTCAAGGGCACATGCTGAGGTTACAAGCTTGATTCCAGAAGGGGATGTGCAAGAGGCAGCCAATCAATGATTCTCTCTCATCATTGATGTTTCTATCTCTCTCATCCTCTTGCTTTTCCTCTAAAATAAAACACACACACACACACACACACACACACACACACACACACACATATATATATATATATATATATATATATATATATATATATATATATATATAAAGGAAAGTTCCTTCAGTTTGCCATACTGTACTATAGCCTGACTTTCTATGGTACCCCTTGAGATAGAAATGATTGGAAAGCACTAAAAAGCCCGGATAGAATGTGGGAGCTGGCAGGCAGGAACCAGGCAGCAACAGTCGTGTGTCAGCAGAGGAGATGGCAGCCTGGGAGACCGATGGACAGAGAGGGGCGGAGGGTGCCCAGGGAAGGTCCCAGGAAATAGTGACCTGCAAACAGACCTGGCAGATGGGTGGGTGGGAGAACAAGGGCAGAGGCGGGATCCAGGCAGGGAGCCAGCAGGGCAGGGTCCACCCGCCTGGAGTGCAGCGTGGGGGTGGGGGTAGGGGTGGAGGTGGGGCAGAGAGCAGAGGTCGGGAAGGCCCAGCCAGACATCTAACATCGCCTCTGGGCACAGGCAGGGCAGGGCCAGCATTTGCAACCAGGGCAAGAAGAGATCAGACCTGCTTTGCTCCGCCTGCCAGCATGATCAGCAATAGACGTGCATCCTCCGCCTCACAAGGGAAATCACGTCAGACATTTCGAGGAGAAAGAATCGTGGCGTGTGTTTATCACATGCTAGCTGAAAGGCACAGAATTCGCCTCGCTAGCTCGTCAATCCACCGTCTGATGTTCCCAAATACGCTGGTGGCGTGGACCAAGGCAGCAGAGAGTAGGCGCCCCTTCCCCTGTGGCTCTTAGACTCACAGGGGTGGCCATGGTCTGCATTTTCAGATTGATTATTTTTGGCTTTACCTTATCTCTCCCAAGTCTTCTTTTCATGCGGTAGATTTTTAAAAATATAATTTTATAATATAATTTTTTGAAAATTGATTTCAGAGAGGAAGGGAGGGGGAGAGAGAAACATCAGTGAAAAGAGAGAATCATTCATTGGCTGCTTCCTACACACCCCACACTGAAGATTAAGCCTGCAACCCAAATATATGCCCTGACTTGGAACTGAACTGTGACCTCCTGGTTCATAGGTCAACACTCAAGCACTGAGCCACGTCTGCTGGGCTTCTGGACAATTTTGTCCTATTTTACATAGCCTTACAAGTTAACAGAGCTTTGTCTAAAATAAGGTAGAGTACAAGAGCTAGATAAACAAAGGGTTTATCTCCATAAATGGCAGGGTTTGTACATAATGAAAATACGTCAGTAACAGAAGCAAATTCTTTGTGAAACTGTAAGTAGGAGGACTTGCAGAAATGATGGTTTTGGGATAAGGAGAAATGATATCGAGTGGATTATTTTTTAAAGTCTGATTTACCACAAAATCTTTGAACAAGGTGGTGATTTAAAGTTAAGTTTAACTGTTTTAAAGAAATCTATTCCTGATACAGAGATTAGAGAAGCTCATTTCTTCCCTCAGGCCAACACAACTGACTCACCAGGGCCAGGGCCAGAGCAAGGCCCGGGTGACAATTGTGTCACTGACTTATGTGGTATTTTAGCTCAATTATTCTTCCCAATCACACTGCTCAGCCCTGATCAAAGCCTCATTTGCTCCCCCTATTCCTAAATGGGTATGGAAAGTATCCCACAGCTGTAGAGAGAGAGAGGAAGGCAGACAGACAGATAGACACACCCA